TGTGCATATTGATTAGAAATCAGATCCTTGCTTTGCTTTACTCTTTCATGCGTTTTTAAACAAGTATGTGGCCCTTAACATTACGAAATGTTTCCATACTTTTAATATGAAATCTTTGACCAGTTCAGCCTCTTTGTAGAGAGTACATAGTGATAGTGTTAGCAGAACAAGGTTTCTTCCAGATGTTATTTTGGAAATGTCATGACTTATGTTAAGAGGTGACAAATATTGCAAATGTCCTTGGACAGAAATTACATTACTGTCCTTTATGTATGTGTTTTTGCTCTGAGAGATTAGTGTTCAGTTATAAGAAGAAATCTCTTTTGAGAAAAATTCCATACTTCCAATTTGGGTAGTTGAAGATTGGATTTCAGTAGAAATGCAGGCTCTTGTTGTAAGTTGTTGTCTCTTGTGTATGTTTACAAACAAAAATTTACTGTGTAGTCATACTGTGTTAGTTGCATGTGACTCTGTATGGATAAAATGCCTGCCTTGATGTGTTTATATTACTTTCAGCTAAACAGTGCTTTTCTTTAAGAAAGTGTATTTTTATACAGACTATGCAGAAAAAAATCCATGCTATTCTATATTACTAATTATTTCAGTACCCCCACACTGTGGGGTGTGAATGGTTTAAAAGAGCAAAGAAAAAAATAACTCAGATTGTTTGTATCACTGTTTGAAGTCATACTCCATACTGTAGGATGCTATTTTACAGTATTGAAACACAGAGGAATAATATAGCTAGCTAAAAGGAAAAAAAAATAGAATGAATGTATTGACAGATACCATGGATTTAAGTTATGAGAACTTTGTTTTCCAGAGAGAGAAACAAAATTTGAAAATGATAGCTTTCCAGTGGAGCAAGGCTAGGTCTTCACAAGAAGGGCTGTGAAATGGCAGCTTATTCTGTGAAGGCAGTGAGAGAAATATTGGAACTGATCAGAAAAGGAAAAGCTTACATAGCAAGTTTTGTATGCTCCTTTCCAAAAAAAAAAAAAAAAAAAGGCAATTTTGACTGAATAGCTTGGAAGATGGGTTAATAAACAGTGCAGAACATAACATATGGTTAAAATGCATGATACAGTTTCTTATGATGTTGTTATTCATTGTTAGATGTATCTAAAATTGTGTATATTCATGAATGCAAATATTTTGATGTATACATTTATAATCATACACATAAGTTGTGGTTACTACTCTTAAGAGTATTTTAAGTATAAGAGGTTAAATGTGTTTGAGACCTCAAGTTCTAAGAGCAAGGGTATGCCATGCAGGTCTTGCTATAGATATTACTTGTACTGTGGTGTTTAAACAACAGGGCTATCTTTGTTTCTGGAAGATGGATAAAAAAACAAGCGGGGGACATGCTAATTGCAATTCAGATACTGAAAAGTTGCAGTTCAGTCATGGCAATTGCTCATTGTTTTGTCTTGGTCCTCTGACATCATTGTCCTTGTCTTTTTCTTGTCTCTGCTTTCCCATTATGCCATTGGCAAGGAGTTGAGAAGTTAGTCCATTACTTCTGTGATAAAGCGTGGTACAGTACAACTTCAGATTTCTTCCCATCTCCTCCTCACACATTTTCACTGTTATTTTTTGCCCTATGCATGATGCATGTCTATCAGAGATGTGCATGCAGTTCTCAGATTCTTCATTGCATCACTTCCTTGTTCCTTAAAATATCAAAGGGAGGAAATATCATTATTTCATTCAACAGAGGCATTACATGGAATATATGAAGGGAATTGATATCAGAGATACAGCATAACCAAAGCAAAATTGCAGGGAACCTTAAAGTAGTGATAGTGTAATGACTATCGGTGTCATGACCACATTGACTTGACTTCTTTATCAGTACAAAATACTTGTCTCTGTGTATCTCAGTTTCTCAGTAAGTGTGTATTGATGGTAAACCTCTTCATGGATATGTTGTCATTTTTCTCTGGATGATGTAACAACCAGATATACTCCTGAGAGAAATTCTCTTCTTATGCTAATATGGTAGGGATAATAAGTTAATAATTTTGCTCAGTGCAACGATATGTGCAAATCTCCAAAGCTTTCGCCATTACAGAAATGTCTGTTTCTTTGTGCTGCCAAAAGGAACATGTGCACAAAGCCTTTCATCTAATGTATTTTCATTCTGGGGAGAGCTAATTTTTCTCAGTTACATAGTACAAGAAATATTATGGAGTCCAACTTTGCATTTTAGGAGCATCATAAAGGAACGCAAGTACTTTTGTGCACCTGAACATTTTGTATGTCGGACAAGAATGTAAATTTAAATGTTAGTTTGTCAGTCTACACCAAGTCACGGCCTGTTCCTCCCTGAAATAATATCAAAAGTGCTTTCAAACCAATGCAAATGACAAAAGTCATAACGGAATTTGCACTGTTAAATATCTTCTGAGGCATTACTTGCGTATTTTGAAAGCTGTTTTTCTGCTTTCAGTGCCGTCTTGAAGGGTAATGCACGTAGCAATTTGAAGAGAGTAAATCTGTAATCATGATAATGGGACACACTTTGACGAAGTAGAAATCCAAAGTTAAAAAACAATACTATATTTAAAGTAATTAAGCGTGTCCTCGTCATTCCGAGAATGTAGCTGCTTTCCACCTTTGAGTTGCAAACTTTACGCATCTTAAGTAGCTTAGACCATTTTACGTTATGAAAGTAATGAATATGAGGAAATCATATATTTGGCTATTTTTAAATGTAAAATTAAAAAAGGAAGCATCAAAATAGAAAAATTCAAATATTGCCGACTTTTTCAAAAATTTGAAATACAGCATTATCAACAGGTTGCTTCTTTGTTGTGTTTCAGAAGTTTCATGTGTTTAACTTAGTTTTTTAATACAAATTTAGTTTCTTCTGTAATTTATGAAGTTTCCACTTTGATTAACTAAACTAATAATGCTCTAACTAGGATTATTTGACACAAAGCTATGATTTTTAATGCTCAAATTAGATTTTTTTTTTTTTAAGATTTGCATTTGGAAACCCTTCCTAGGTGAGGGAAAATTTTTCCAATATTATTTTCCTATATTAGAATTTGAGGTAATACTCATTGCTATAAATATGCCTATTTTTAATTCTTTTTTAAAGTAGGATTAGGAAATCTGAATTATTTGTTGCACTATGTGTATCATAATCAGGCATGTATTGCTTCGGTTTCTGCCCTATTTGTACCAGTTTTGTTTTTACCGGCAAGTTCTCAATACAGTAAATTAGTTTGGCTAACATCTCTCTGTCAGTTCCTAACTTTTAGTTGGAAGGGCAGTGACTTACGTAACCCATTACATTAACGCTGAAAAATGACAAAAATATCAAGAGGATTTAATTTTTGAACTGTAACTCTTAATATATTGAATTATTGTATTTAGTGCCTTCTTCCAGAAGGACTGCTTGGTTAAGAAGGATGGTTCTGTATTTGACAACACTCTCAAAGCTAGGCTAGGTTTGACCACATAAGGACGGTTCTGTATTTGACAACACTCTCAAAAGCTAGGCTAGGTTTGACCACATAAGGAAATGTGCATTACTCTTAGAGTAAAGTGTTGATCATCTTGCACCATTTTAAAGTCTTTTTTTGCCCTCCCTTTTGCCAAATTAATATTCAGACTGCTCAACATGTCTGTGCTTCCCTCTCTGTCATTTGTTGATGTCACTGGTCCAACTTTGATGTTGCCCTTGCATACAGGTAGGATTGGTTTAGTCTAAGGGAAAAAATGTTAGTAAATCAGGATTAGATCAAGAAAACTTGATACTTCTCTTGTTCCTATTACATATACTCTTGATGAAGAACTTCAGTGAAGATACAGTTTTCACTGGGTAGTAATCCTGCCGGGTAAAAGATGAAATCCTGTTGAGTGCTGAGATGCTAGCTCACCCTAGAAATGTGTCAGGGCTTTAGTGTGCACAAGTGTCATTGCATTCTTTCTGCTGTTAGCAGAAGCGCTAAAAAGGCCAGACAAATAACTGGCTTCCTCATTTAGAAGTGGTGAACAAGTCAAGAGAGTGACTGAAGTAACAATTTCAGTCAAATTACTTAAAGCTTAAAAAACATTGCTGCTTTTTTGCTGACTTATTTCAGTAGTGAAATTATTCCAAGATCTCTGTACAAGTTTGAGGTCCAGGGTGTGTTTGTCAAGCTAGCGTGCACGTTAATCTCTTGAGTCTTTTTACAGGGAAGAGCAAAGAGAAAAATAGAAATGACCCAGAAGAGGTACTGGCAATTTCCTTGTCTAATACTAGAATCTCTCTCCTGATAAAATGCGAAATCCTCATTAAGTTACATTTATCCATTGGTTATCAATATAATATATGTTCTGTAACTTTAGAGGTACTCTGTTATACCGCTGCTGAAGATGGTTTCTTTATCAGGCCATTTGAATTTCCTTCAAGACCAAACAGTTTCCTAAATCTAGTCAGTAACCTGATCTCGGCATGTTTGTACCAAATTTCCTGACCTCAGGAAGGCAAGGAAAATGCACTGTAAATACATGTCGTCCATTAAACTCCTTTCCTGCCTTTAGGGATGCTTAACATTGATGAAAGATTTGGGATAGCTAACCTGAGTAAGCACTGAATAGAAAATAAAAGATGGACGCAGTTAAGTAGCTGTTGCATTTATTTTTTAAGCACTTGAATCAGAATTGATCAGTATTCATATGTCCTTGTTATGCTGCACTGCAGAATAAAGCAAAACCATCAACCAAGCCTCCTTCATGTTCTTTAAGCCAATCAATAGATTTTTTTGTCTTTATGTTGAGTTGTGTATTTCACTGCTAGTATAATTTTTTCCACCTAAGTCATATTTGTACGTGTCCCTTGAACCATCCTGTTTCGCCAAAGTCAACTTTTTGATTTAATCCAAAAAGATATGCAGCCCTTACCAAGCATCAGTGCTTACCAATGTGATCAGTGCACATTGGGTTCAGAATGTTAATTTGTTTTCTTTGCCTAATATATTGCTGTATTCTTTTCTCTTTAACAGCCTCAAGTACTACAGCCTTCCAGCAACCTTCCCAGTTCCACAGACCTCGACCAGGGAAAACTAATAAAAATGCCACATACAGAGGGCCTCAGTGAATATCCTAAACATGATCCACATGAAAATGGCAATCATAAGGATCCAAATGCTGCAAAAGCATCTCTCACTAATAGTCTGAATGAACTAAACACACTAATGAGTATACAGTTAAACATAAAAGATGAGAATGCATCATATTTGGAAAATTTGAAAAACGAAAATGCTGAAGACCCTGGGGAGCGGGCTAGTATTAAAGAAGGTATATTACAATCTCATTCCTATTTTCCGGCATTTACACGAGCCGATGTTAGAGAGGTGCAGACTGAGTTAGCTGTGAAAGGTCAGCCCTCATTCACAAACAAGGCTTCTCGGCCAAAGACTTTAGGAATTGCAAAGCCCCCAAATGCTTTAGTGCCTCCTACAGTGGCCGTGCTCGCACGATCTGCAAATCATTCTGCTGCTTCCAAGGAGCCTGAGCTTCTGCTATCAAATAGTCCGACTCAGCTAGAGCCAACATCTGGTCAGGCTAACCTAAAGAGTAAACAGAGCCAGAAAGTGTCTAAGCTTCGCCCACCAACTATGTCCTTCGTTAAATCTAAACAAACGAGCAGTCAGAAATCCACACTGGTCTCTCCAGAGCCTCAAAACACTTGTTCGAAGACTAACATCCCAAAGCCACCGGTGCAAAGAAAGGAAAGCGTGCAAATGCAGAGTACCGGTTTGCATTCTGGGGATAGCTTGCCCTCTAATCGGCCTTCCCGCCTCCCTAAACCAAAGACACATTGAGAACGTGTGTACCCATCTCATTGAATGATGCCATACATTAATCTACTTCCCATGTGTTGACTGCCTTTGAGGCTGCTTTACCTACAGCCTGCAAATCCTGAGTGACTATTAAAAATAGCATCTTTCTTTAGAGTTTGCATATTCCATTCTCTTCTCTTCTTAAGTTCATGTTATCAACTGTGCAGCCTCTCTTGAGAGTGTTCAAGTATATCGTAAGTCTGCATTAACGATTGCACTGCTCATTGATCTTAATAATTAAGCAAAAACTCAAGTCTGTGGTGACCACAAATACCAGAATGCTGCACTAGGTATTTCAGGAAGGCAGAAATCTGTTATTTTGAGGGATTAGACAATGAAATTACTATTCAGTCTAACTTTTTGGTTCTGACTGCTGGTTAGGTTAGAGTGGTGGAAAATTAGACTTAGTAGCAGATGTTTTATTGGCCATACTTTTGACTCTGTGTTTCAGAGGCCTATGCAAAAATCCTTGTATTTATCATTATCTGAAGAATGACATATTTAATGTTATTTAATCTGATGGGTTGGGGAGTTGTTTGGGGGTTTTTGTTTGTTTGTTTTGCTGTAATCTGAAGTTGCTCTGTTTTTTATTTATCCCATTTTCACTGTTCACAGACAGTAAGCAGATTTCACAGGGTGAAACGGATCTTATCTCTTAGACATCATCATTTGTTGTGACATTGTGGTATGCTTTTATTGCGTTGAATAGACACGTTATTGGGTAAATTTTTGAAACGCAGTGCTAGGGATGCTTGTGCAAAACCTGCCGATACAGGCTCTTAGGAATTGGTAAGTAAAGAGCCTCTGGGAATAAGGGGTCCATAACACCTATGTTGAGGTTGCACAACATGCATTTTAATTAATATTTTTAACTTTTATTGTGCTACTTGTATTTATTGATTTTTGTTTATTACTGGAAGTCTCTGAAGTACCTGACTTGAAATGTTTGCACAGAATTTTGCCATATATGTAAGAATGTGGAACTATTTTACATAATAAAACCTGATTTAAAAAAGCAGCTACTAAAAAAAATAACCACCCCACCTATTTGCTTTGAGCAATCCTGTTATGTCCTAATCAGAGCTGGTACTCTTAAGAGTTTTTCATAGATGTGTATTTTGTTTTGGCTTTTTTCTTTTTGGAATTTCTAAAGAAGTGCATGATAACTGGGAAGGAGCTTTTTGGGGAAATAAAACAAAAAAAAATCTTTCTGCTCTCTAGAAAAGCATTTTTTTCTAAAAGTGGTCTGGAAATATTTGCCCATCATGGTGCAGCTATGGGACCATGACACTCATGCTGTGGGTTGCGTATATGCACATCCAGTGAAGTGTGCTAAAAACTTACCCTTCTGTCCCATCTCCCAATTCTCCTCTTCCCCGTCACTGTCTCTTGAATTTTACTTTTTTTCCTCCTATTCTTAAGTTGGTTTTAAAATCATCAGCCTAAACCTGTTACAATTATTTCACTCAAAATCTGTCCCTGAACAGCATATAATGACAGCGAAATGAAACACAGTAATAGCTTGTTCTAGGCTTTGGCTATATGATGTTGACGTGTTACAGTGTATTCTTTGAGCTAATAAAGTGAATAGGTATAGACATTTCATAAATATGTTCAGTAATCAGCTTTTGTAATATAATCCCTTTAACCAGGGATAGATACCCTGGTTGGAGGAGAGAAGGAAAAAAATCATCGGAGTTGTATTTCTCAATGCATAATTAACGTCCAAGAAAATGTCAGGTTTCTCACTGTTAAGTTGTTTCACCTGACAATGAGATGAAAAATTAAAGCTTGGGGGAAAAGCAGGGGGCAGATTATGTTTATTTCAGAACTGGCTATGTGATTCTGAAGACCTGCAGGACCTTCTGACAAATTTGTGGGGGGAGGTGGGGGAGAAGGGGACCGGTTAAGCAAGAAATAACAAGAGCAGTATTAATTTGTTGCAGTTGCTAAAAGATCAAAATAAGTATAACTTGAGATTACTGTTATAATTGTTCTCCAGGAAAATTTATTTCTTGCCTTGGAAAGTATTGAATCAGGTGACCTTTGACGTCCAGAATCAGAGTAGATGTTTACTTTGGGTAAGAAAATAAAACTGACTTTTTATATTCCCCAAAATTAGCTCCTGGCAGCTGCCTATATTTCTCAAGAGTGTAGAAACTGCTGAGGGAATGATCAGATTCCTGGTTTGTTTTCAGGTCCGTATATATTTCCGTGGAAGTTTTTCTTTCTTTTTTAAACTTCACTTTCCTTGAAGGGAAGCTGATTTTATTTTTAATTGTATATGTTTTTGTGCAAGAAGTTTATTGTTACTTAAAAGAATACTATTGATGGCAGTGTTTCGCCATGAGTCCTGTTGTTTCTACTCGTTCTGGAGGCTTCATTGGTCTGATTTAGAGATTTTAAGCTTTTATGTTTAAATTTAAAAGTATAGATATCTACCTATCTGCACCTTTACTGATAATTTAGGAGGGAAGCAAACAGACTATCAGGGTTTTCATAAAACAGATGATGACCCTCCCCCCCCACCAGAAGAACAAAAACATATTTATTCTGCAGGTTGTTCTATACTGTTAAAGAAGCATAAGTAGATTATATTCCTTGGTGTGAATATGTAGGGTTTGCCATTTTGCTGTGACAGATGAGTAAGAAATTGCGCTGAAGATAGCAGGATTGATCATAGATGAGGCAGACGCTAGGCTGAATTGTGTTTGTATTCAGCTGCGAATCTTGCATCGCTCTAAACACAATTGTGTATTTTGACTCTTCTGACTTTGCCAGGGAAGGTTCTGTTGCATGTATAGCAAGTCCAGAGTATGAGTAAAGCTTGTCAGCCGACGAGCAACTGGAAGAGAAGCAGTGAAGGGAAATTCAAAGCCTCACTTCAGTGGGGAGAGGGGGTAAGAGGGTGCTGTGAAGAGCATGTCAAATGGTATTAAGCAAGTAACTTCAGGTAATTGGTCTACTTTATTTAAGGAGCATGTATATCATCAGTACTGGTGCAGATTATCCTAAATGCTTAAATTCAAGGATTTGATATCTTCAGAGTTTTTTTAGGTTTCTGAAACTGGTTTATTGCAGATTTTTTATGCTTTTGATGTCTCCTTCTTTTGTGCAATATTCACAAGTATTAAACTACTGTTCAGTATGTGTGTACAGAGGCAATTATGTATTTTAATAAGTGAATAAACACAAAAGAAGAAAAACAGAATTGCACTTTAAATGAGCTTTATTGCTTGGAGTTGTGCCTAAATAATCTAGATGCCTCCTGTTGTGTGTGTGGCTTTTGTTTGAAACTAATTTCCCTGCTAGTGTTGCTGCTTCCAAGATACCTTCACATCGCTTTCACAGAATTAATATACACTCTAGCATGTTTAAAAATACTCATATAGTGTACTGAGTTTTTGTTGTGCAATGACTTTAGTGCTAAAATTCCACAGTTAAATTAGTGATGCAGCCAGAAGATTACCTTCCCCTTCCCTGAAACTGGCACTTCATAGTTCTGGTCAACGCCAATGGCAAAACTTTCAAAGGACTAGCCTACTCCTTAAAGAACGATGTTCCTAGCCTATGTTTTGGTTCTGTTAGAGAAAAGTGCAATACTAACTCCTAGCCTTTCTTGAAATAATTATAAAAGCCCTGAAAAATCAAAAACTGCACTGAGTTTTCTATCTAGTTCAAAAGAAGTGGGTTCTTGAACTTTAAATCTCATAGCAGTGAGACTAGACATAGCAACTAGACTGCATCATAGGTCAGTAAAATTAATTTCATCCTTGATCTAAATGCTGATTTGTTGTAATGATGCTAGAAAATTGAATACCATTTGTGTGATTTACTTTGTTTGCATGTCACAACCATATGCACATTCTACAGTGGCCATGCTCTGGTAGGTTGCATGTTGTGGGAGGGTGGGATGGGAGAGGAATATTTTAGTTTTTGCACAGCACATAATCCTCTTGATGTGGACATTTTCTTGCCACACAAATGGAAATCCACTCTTGAATTGGGCTTCCGTGGCTATTCTTTATCTTGTTTATAGTGGCTTTTTCTGAGCAGAGTGGATGTACTACATGATCCTGGTGGTAGGTCTCAGTTTTATAGTAATCTTACAACTACGCTATCAAGGAAATTCAGTCACTGTTGTGGTAAAGCTGCTCACTGCCTACCTAACTGTAAAAGCACCACAATAAAAACAACATAATTCCAGTGTCAGTGAAGTCTTAAATTCAGTACTAGCTTAAAAAAAAAAAAAAAAGTACCCTTAGTTATCTGCATTGTTGTTTTTTTCTTGTTTTTTAAACCAGGCCAGAGTAAATACTGTATATTGGAATTTGCTTGTAAAGTTGATTTAAAAACCTGTATGTAAAAAATTTTCTTCAATGTTGCTCTAGTGAATAAAAATAAAAGTAATAATTCTAATAAGTACCTATTTCTCCTGACTGTTCACTTTATTTCACTTTATTCTATTCTCTGTGCATAACTACAGGACTGAAAGGAGGAAATTGTCTGGGAAGGGGAGACTGTGCTTATGCTTACAATTATGTTCTCTCATGGAATTGTGTCTTTCTCCAGCAGATCTGCATGCTTGTTTGTCCAATGACTTTTAGCATAAGTGTTTTAAAGAAGAACAAAGAGATTTCAAAAAAAAAAAAACAAAAACAACCATATTTAGCTGTTGTTTCTAGGTGAACAAGAAGCTGGATTGATGTGATTATTTTTTAAAGGTACTTTATTTCACCTCTAATGCAGAATCAGGGAGAGCAGAAGGATATTTCATAGAGTTTCCTTATGTAATTAACTAGTTATGACAGACAGCTTTAATCTGATTCTGCGACTTCCCTACAGGAGTCTAAATCTATACAATGCATGTAAACATCCATGAAGAGTTCCTGATAGAGTGTATTAGTATTTTGCCCACAGTCTGAGTGCTTTAATATGCAGGAGATAAAATGAGTTATTTTCTTGCAAGAAAAGGGACTCTGTTTCACTTGTTTAATTCCTGACTTGTTTCAGTAGATGGAAGTGCAAGTTGAAATTTCAATCAGAAATGGGGCTTGGTAAAGGGAGAATCCTGCAGTTCTCTGTAAGGGTATTAAAAAATGCTGCAGACATTTGGAACCATTGATCTAAAGTTTTGAGCTTCTGGATGATGTTTGACTTTTTGCTGGGTTGAGGGTGGGGAAGAGCATAAAGCTTCCAAGTTTAAACACACATTTTTAGGTACCTTCCTCAACTGAGGGCCAAAAAGGTAACTGGGGATCCATGGATCTTCTGCCTTGTAGTTCTGCTGGGTATAGCGCAAGAGCAAGCACTCCTTGTTACTTTATGGACAAGACTCTGGTACAGTGGTGTCCAACCCTCTTAGTCATGAGAAGAAATTAAAGAGGTAATGCAATGACTATGTAGTATGCATAAGAGATGCAATTCACAAGTCCCTCTCTTCCTTTCCTTGTCTTCTCTTCCCCTCCCCCATCAAGAGACGAAGGCCTTGTGGCAGTGATGGACTGGGAGCTGTGTACTGCTGGCACTGGAAGAGATCTGCTTTATCACTGGGCACAGTATTGCACGCAAGGAGAAAATATGAGACAACGTGAAATCTTTGCTTGCCTCCTTTTGGAACTCAAAATTAACACCCTTGGCACCTTTCCTCGTAAAGGAATGGTTTATTTTTCAGCGTATTTCAGTGCAGCTGGTCCACAAGAAAAATTAATACTGAAGCATGCAGAACGTTACTCAGTCGTGTGGTTGCTGTTTTCCTTAGGTTATGAAAATTAGCCACTGTTTCAAATCAAAATTGGCTTTTAGTGGAGGACGTTGAGCCTAAATATCACAGCTCTAATGAGCTGGGCTATTCAAGTACTTAATGCTAATCTGACAGTTTGAAAAGTAAGAGGAGGATTTCCTGTTAGGTGATGTTCTTGTTTTCTGTGAAACTGCAGGCAGGAAGAGTCCTCAGTCACAGTGCAGTACCTGGGGAGGTTGAGGATGCATGCTCTAAGCGCTCATGCAATGTAGCGGGAGTTCTTGATATGAAGTCCAAGGCAGAAGCAATTGCCCTGCATAATAGGCCAGAAAATCTGCTTACGGATGTTGAAATTGATCGTTCCAAAGCAGATAAAAATCTGAAAACTTCAAAACTATCTAAGAAAAAATGTTTCCCTCTATCACAACCTCTGAAAATCATTTCAGGTTGCTGAAAGCATTTAAATTTCATGATATTGGTTTTTAAAGCTTATTAGAACGCACATCTCGGGGGGGGGGGACCCCAGATTGGTAGGCACTTGAGAACGGTTGTGAAAATGGGACGAGGTTACTTTACTTGCATTTTCTTCAGGAAAATTCTGGAGAAATGAAGCAATATGAGAGAGTTTTAGGTTTCAGTGGAGCTACGCGTTCTGATGGAATGTGATTCTCTTGGTACCTTTCCAATCCAACATAATAGGTTTTGTTCTGAAGAGGCCTGATTCATCATTATCTCTGTTACTGCAGCTAGAAAGATCCCTGAAAATCAGCCTGTGTAAATTTCCCCAATTTCCTTAAGATCAACAGTATAAAATAGCCTTTGTACACAAAGACTGGTAAGTCTTTAGGTGGTGGTAAATACCAGTAATTTAGTTATATCAGAAGTGTAGGCTGATAAAAGCCTATGAGTACTGGAAGATTCATGGGTCACTGACAGTCTGATAAACTTTTGTGCTTAGTACTGTAGAAGCTGAGCGATTCCTACAGTAAGGCTCTATAAATCTTTACTCCATTTTAATTGCTACTCAGTTTGACAAACTGTATGACCTGAAATTTTCCATACTAATTATCCAATCCTACTTTTAATTTCTGTGCCCTATTTTCCTCATATATAAAATGGGAATAATACCAGTATTTCTTAGCCAGGTCAACACTTGGAAGATTCTGTGCTGACAGCACGATGAAAATTCACTGAGAAAATGAATCCTCCCTTACTTTCTTGAACATTGTGTTTACGTCTCTGCATTTACCTGCTATGAGTCTTCAAAGGCCTGAACTATACAGGCAAAGCTCAAAAGCTTTTGCAAAAAAAATTCTTAATGTAATACTTTGCAGGGCAGGTTTCATAGATTTCACTAGAACTATTTTATCTCTACCAGAAGCACTCAATTTCCCTCTTAAGAGTCCACAGCAGTTATTTGCAGGGCTCCCTTGCAAACAAATGAGAGGAAAAAGTTTCTACAGCGAGTTACATGCAGCACAGCGGACAAATTCTCTGAAGCCCTACGGGAAAGTTATCCTGGGCATATGTATCCCAAGTACGCTGGCAGTATTGCGGGGTGGTGGGAACTTGTGTCCCCGTCTTTCTGGAGGATCCCAAAGGTGTAAATTCTGCTTATACAAGAAGTTCTGAGGTCGTGGGGGTTTTTAAGTTCCACTCACTTTTGGGAAAGTTATTTGAGCAACCAGCTTTTTTGTTGCTCAAGCTACTACAGATAACACAAAAAGTTCAGTCCTGTTTTACATAACCTCTGTTTAAATTCTGCCCTGTAATGTCTGTGGGTTGCTATGTTATTTTTTTGTCCTACAGTAGTAACCTAGAAGACCCCCCCCTCAATCACAGGTGAGAGCCCTTCACTGTGAGATACCATATAAAATAGTAGTAGCAAAGCATTTTGTACTGCAAGACACACAGCAGAAGGCTGTCAAGCTGAGTTGATCCTGCCAGGATCTGAAGTTACGTTTCTAGGATGTCCATGATGTTCAATCTATATGTTTATAAGCAGTTGTGTATTTGGTATTACCATGCAGGGAAACTTAATGATACACAGGCTCTTTGTTAATAATACTCTTGTGCATCTTATGCTGGCATTCAACTTCTTACTTCAAAAGAGTTAGTTAAGGTCTATGTGTGTGCATTAAATTAACTGCTGTTGAAAGCTTTGTGTGTGGCATTGCTGGGACAAGCAGGGTATTGAAAAAATAGTGTGTTTGTATTTTGCAGTTTAACATCAAAGATATATTTGCTTTAAAATACATTTCCAATGGCACTTAATCTTTTTAAGCTTTGTTGAGAGTGTTAACTTTCTCAGCTGATTATCTTCACAGTTGTTAAGCAATATTGTCTGAGTGCTTATATATATTTGTTTTGAAGGATTAAAAGGGGTAATGGAGATTACTCTTCACTTTTTTTAAGCTACTGACACAGGCATGCTGTATCACATATGCGTTTATATATAACGTTTTCCAGAGTGCTGGCCTGGAACGTAACTAGTTTAGGTCCAAACTTCTAAGCCTAACAAAGTCAAGGAGGGGTATTAGAAATATACTCATGGTCAAAGGACAAGTGGTACAAAGGATCTTGGGGTGTTAGGGGATGTGTCATGACGTTGTGCTAACTGCGCTCTAAACTGGGTACCAGGTGCAGTCCTTAGGAAATGTGTTAGACAAAGTGCCTGTAGGGTAAATAACAAGTCCTAATGGTATGCGCTTGCTCGGTAAAGCCCTTGGAGCTTCAGCAGACAAACAGAATAGGGTAAGAATTAAGTGTTATTATTTCCATTATAAATGCATGGAAAGCAGGTGCTAAGAGCAAGCAAAATAAAAGCACTTTGGGAAATCCCATGGAGAAATATCTGTGTTTACCTCCTTGCCCTCTTGAGATCAAAAGAGAATTCATGCTTCCACCTGTCTCAATAGCTGAGATTTCTGTTTTGCCCTTCCTCCACTCCATTCTAATGCGGAGAGCAGGCTCGACTTTTGCTCCTGTACACAGCAGAGGGCAGTGTAATGTAAGGAGCTGAAAGACTTCAAACTTTAAAAAAAACAAAACAAAAAAAAAAAAAAAAAAAATTCTATGCATGCCACAACAGCTTCCTAGGTATAGGCTGGGGGGCAGGAAGGAGGTGGGGCTGTGCCTTTGACTGACATATACACTCTGTTCTTCTCACCCTATCCTGTTTGCTTTAAGGGGCAAGCCCCAAACAAAGCAATACTGATAAAATATAGATATATATAGATATATATATATATATCTTTTTTTTTTTTTTTTTTTACAGTGACCAGGTGCAACATTGCTCAGCTGAAAGAAGCAATCAACTTTTTGGAGGGGTGGAGGAAGGAAGACAAACACTGATAACCTTAACTGAAGCCTCTGCGTAATCTGAACTGGAATAACCTAGTTGTCTTCCTAGCTAGTTCCCTGATGGAGGTTGATCTTGTTTCAGCTAGCTGTATTTATCATTCAGCTCACTGACTGCCTAGGCTGGAAATCCGCAAGGGATATGGGAGATA